AGATCTGCCATGTCTCAGAGTCTTGATACTGTGGCCTTATGTAGTAGGTGTCTTGTGAGGCTCAGTGGCACAGTGTCCCTGATCACCTAAGCTGGATGCTTCAGGAATGTCCCTCATGTGGGTTATGTGAGCCTTCTCATTTTTAGTTGAGCCAGGATTGCTGTTGCCTGTCATGGTTGTGGTCAGTTTTCAGACTGGCTGAGAATGAGCACTGACCCCAACTACAGTGTATGAGCTGCTGCACAAAGCAAACTTCATCCCAACGGGATCTGTTCTCCCTTTGGAAGTGCTGCTTGTGGAGCCTGTTTGGTCAAGCTCTGATGTAATCATAAGACCACCATGGGCCTTGTTCATTCTGGGGCCTCATGGAAGGGACTCCAACATAGGTCAATATCAGGCACTACATGTGGTCAGCCCTGGGCTACCCAGTTGGTGCTACAAAATGATCCACAGTTTGTGGTTTCCTCTGCTGGTCCAGGGTACAGAGAGAGGAGCCGAACTGTGGACCAAGGATAGCTCCCACCAAGTCTAGAGGCAGGTCAGCTAAAGGCCCATGGCACTCTGAGATTCGCCTCCACCTGTGGGATGCTTGGCCACCCCTGGAGTCTGCCTGGACCCCCTTGAGAGCTTTCCAAAAATGTCTGCATAGTAGCCCCAGGTTGACTGCAGCCAGCAGTCTCCTCTGCAGGGTATAAGTTTGCAGTAAGGGGCCACCAAGGGTTGGAGAGGGTGTGCCTAGTAGATCTTTCATGTGGAGACTACTCTGGTCAGGTGTGTTGTGGGAAAATTGGCCCTTACCCAGGAGCCTCACAGTTCAGTCTCTCCCTGTGCTTATACCCAACATCCTGAGTCTGCCCAAACCTCCTCCAGAGCTCTCCCAGGAAGTCTGTATTGCAGGCTCCGAATGGCCACAGCCAGCAGAATGCTGTTCAGGTCACAAGCTCAGCAGAGTAGGGCCACCAGGAGTGGGAGGGTAGGACTAGTGTAACTCCTGTGTGGGGATGATCTCCACAGAGAGGTGGGAGGGGGAATGGCCCCTAGCCCAGAGCCACACAAATTAGTCTCTGCTGGTGCCTATCTCTGACACCCGTTAAAACTGCCCAGTCCTCCTCAAAGCTCTCCAAGAAAGTCTGCATCATGGGCTCTGGCCACAGCAAACAGACACTTCCACGGGGCTCAAGCTCAGCCGGGTGAAGCAGCAGGGAGTTGGGAAGATAGGGTTAGTGCATTTCTCTAGGACAGTGCCCTATGGGTGGTAGTGCTCAACCCAGGAGAGATGATGTCTGTAGGAGGCGTGGGAGAGGGCCTTAACATAGTGATCTAAACGGTTGTTCCTCCAACCCTCTCCTCAGAAACACACAACCCAATCTTTCTCTGCGTGACTCCAGTCCTCTCTGAGTTGCCTTCTTTCTAATAAAAAGGGTAAGTGGCTGAGAATGAGATTCTGTGTCTTGGCCCTTTCAGGGGGCACTGGGTTCCTAGAAGAGTACTGTCTCATCCTGGTGGACAGAATCCACACTGATTTTCACATCCAGATGTTATGTGGGCTCCTCCTGGTTCTCATGCTCTGAGCTGGGTAACTGGCATGGGGTTGAGACACCACACTCCTTGGGAGGGACCTTTGCAGCTGAGGTATTCATTCAGATTCCCAACCTTCCCACATAGGTGCAGGGCCAGCCTGTTCCATGTCTCCATCCTTCCTGCTAATCTCCATGTGGCTTCTTCTGTAAATTCTTGATTATAATACTCCAGTTAGTCTTCAGTTGGTTTATTCAGGTTGATTGTTCTATAATTTAGTTATAATTTTGATTTGGTCCTGGGAAGTGATGAGTGTAACTTCCATTTTCTCTGCCACTATCTTTGGAAGAATCCAGCTTTGTTCTTTCTGTCTTTGGAAGAATCTAGCTTTGTTCTTTCTCAGGATTTCTTTGGCTATGTGGAGTCTTACGTGGTTCCATACAAATTTTAGGATTGTTTTTTCTATTCCAGTGAAAAAATACCACTGAAATTTTGATTGGGATTGCATGGACTTTGTAGATTGCTTTGGGTAGTATCGACATTTTTCACAATATTAATTCTTGCAATTCAAGAACAGAAGGTATTTTTCTATTTATTTGTATCTTCTTTAATCTCTGGCATTAATGTCTTGTAGTTTTCAATGAACAGGTCTTTCGCCTACTTGGTTAAACTTATTCTTAAGTTTTATTGTTGTTTTTGATGGAATTATTTTCTGGATTCTTCCTCTAGATAGTTTATTGTTAGCATGTAGAAATATAACTGACTTTTTAAATGTAAAACACATGGGTTTTGAGGGATGGGGAAAATGGAGGTCTTAGTTGGAAGTTAATGGAAAATGATATTCCACATGGGTCTATAGGAGCCAAAACAAGTACAAATTTAGAGGAAAAGAAATGTCTGCTGTTTGCAACTGATCACACGCTGAACTAAGAAAGTTTCATGGTCACCTTCTAACCCCGTCCCACTGTAGGTGAGAATGGGAACTTCAGACACCCTGTTTGAGGAAGTACAGGACAGGTGACAGTAGCCAAAGCCAAACAACTCCTCCTCCTCTGGCTTCCTCACGATCCAGCAACCAAAGGACTATTGCCAATGTAGCAGGGGCTTTAGGACCTTGTTCTAGCAGTGACTGATGGCTATTTTGATTCCATTCTCCTGGTAGCACCCACCCCTATCCACTCATAGTCTGGGAACCCGGAACCGAGAGGGTATGTGTGGTGGGAGTAAGGCAGGCTTCCACTTGCCATCTGATCTCTCCACCCTCCGATTCCCTGTCTCCTGAAACAACTGGACATAAGCGTGAAGAACAGAGCCTCTTGGTTTTCAAGGTTAAGTGTAGCCATCACTGGTCAAAGTCACCCTTATCTGGCCTTCAGGGTACTGGCTGGGATAGCCCAGCAAGAGGCCACCACAGGCTCTCTCCAGACCAGTGGCCTCTCCTGGCACTTCAGGTGCTCTTGTGAAGAGTGGCCCAGGGGACAGGTGGGTCTGGTGACAGTTTGAGGGTATAAGATGCCCAGGATATAGGTTCAACTCCACTTAATGGAAGGATTTTGATAAACATCTGCCAATCATTTACCAAGGGGACACTAACTTTATTAATACTATTAAGAAAAATGAAAACTAATATCTATCTACTTGCTCTATGCCAGGCATCATTCTCATATATCACTCACTGAAATAGAATACTAAGAACCATTGACCCATTTTACACATTAGAAAAATGAGGTATAGGAAAATTATATAAAACTTGAGCAACAAAACTGTAATTCTAATCTCAGCAACTGCCCAAGAGACCTGAAGACCTCCCAGAAGACCTGAAGAATTAGGTGTGGATTAATTAAATACAATAGTCAAAATGTTTTCATAGGTCCACTGAAGTTATTTAAAAATCGGCACTGTTAAATGACCTAGAAAAAATTTAATGTAATTAAAATTTTAGTTTTGCAAAACTTAGAGATTATACCAACATCAAAATAATGTTAGTGGAAGAAAAAAATTTTTAACTTATTGAGACACAAGTCACCCCAATGGCTACCATTTGATGGGGGAATTGTTGGAATAATTGTTGGATATTTGATGAAAAATTTGCTTTTCAAATTCTAATTTGGCAACTTTATATATGTCACTTAAATATGGAGTTTATTAAAAATACAGTTTACAGAATAAGAAAGGTGCTTTTTAAATTAATGATTTATATAGTAATGTATGTAAATTGAGCCACTGTCATAATCCAGCGTGCCTCATGTGGAATCTTCCATACTCTGTGACTGGCCCACTCTGGGGGGAGGGTAGTACATTTCTCCTAATGAGAAGTACTGAAGCATGGGCTGCCTGTAAGCAGAACACTTGGCAGTGATACTGCAGAAATGATTTAAACTCTGATAAATACTGAATTTTCCATGCAGGACTGGCTACATCATTGGTAAAACTCAGTGCAAAAGCAAAATGTTTTTAAATTATTAAGCATTTCAGGAGGGTGACAGCAGAGTCCATCTAGGCATGGAGCTTTGGGTAACTGCATGGGTGGCATATCCAGGGAGCTGGGCCTGTTTCCATATTATAGAAATCTGGAACTTAGGGATACATTTCATAAAGAATTGCACTAGGAAATTGAAAAAAATGAGAGGAGAATTACAAGGGAGTGAAAATTTCTGTAAAACAAGATGTGAATGGAAGCATGCTGACAAATGAAACAGAAAGAAGAGAAATTGTAGCCAAAATAATTTCAATAGAGAAATGCAGCAAAATCTGGAATCAATTTTCCAGGTATTATCTCCACGAGGGGCTGTGAGATGACCCAGAAGTAATAGAACAGTACTAGCTGACCCAGAAGTAATAGAACGTAATAGAACAATAGATCATTTCCCTCCACCTGCAAAGACAGTCTTGTGATTACTTGCAGGAATAACACTGGGTTCTGAACTCTAAAGAAATTTAACAAACAGCCCCGGGAAAATGAATGCTGACTAGGAGGGAAACAAATGCACATGAACATAAGAGCAAACACACCGGCTATCTAAATCCGCTCAGACCTTCATGTTTAAATATGAAAGGACAACCAAGAATCGTCAGACGGAGGAAGAATTACAGCAAGAAGAACGGGAAAGAACTAAATAAACATACATAAAAAGGGATACTTGAGAGAACATAATGTAATAAACAGAGGTACTCCCGCAAGATATATACAAAGAGATGTCCGTCAAAACCCAGGAACCAAGTGAAATCAGATATCTACTCGGCTGGAAGGACAGAAAGAATCAATCTAAGATCGATAAACTAGTGGGATCCTTGTCTTCAAGAATAATTCACTAGATATCAAGCAATGGAGAGGAATGTAAAGCTGCAAGATCTTAGTGATATAGTAAAAACGGCTACGAGAAGAAAACCAGAAACGCTAGTAAAAAAAATGAAAATTGTATAATGAAATCACCATTCACCAGAACACAAAATAAAACGTGAGACAATTTTGGGTGTAGTACTTGAAGACAGAAAGCATTTATTTATCTCGGTATTTTCCTTTTCTTGCGAGACAGAGGTCCGTGGCTGGGTGCTGGGGACACAGGGACCATCACGTAGTTCTAGTCTTTGACGAGTTCTTGATATAGCGGGAGGCACAATCATAGATCTGGAACTAACGGTACTAACTTTTAATAAGTACACTCACAACTATAGAAGCAGAGCACCGAGAAAAGTTTACTGCGAGTTTCCCCAGGACCCAACCCCCAAGCACACCACTCCCACTACGGTCGCTTCCTAAGGTGTCCCACTTCCGCCCACAGCACTCTGCACCTCTACTTACAAACTGAGTCTGCGCCAATATTAGTGCGCACGCGCCAACCGCAGTCCCATTGGAATCCCGTAGCTGGATTCCTGGCGGAGGGAGTAGGGTGGGGCGGGGTCTCGAAGCCAACCTCCCCCCCCCCCCCCCCCCAAAAAAGGAAAAAAAAAAAACCCAAAAATCAAAAAAGAAAAACAACCCCCCCCCCAAAAAAAAAAACACGCTGACCCGTTATCTTATAGGCGAAGCCTCGCCCTAGGGCCTTGTCTGTTAACTGTTCTCCTAATTTGGAAAGGATCCGGCGAGAACGCGGGCTGGGCGTGGAGCTGCGCGTGGCACCGAGGGCGCCTGCGCGGAGCGCCGGGACCGGGCGTGTACCTTTTTCTAGTTCCAGTTTAGCCCCGGCGGAGTGCATCTTTCACCCACGAAGTGCACCGTGCAGAAGCCTGCCGTTTCCACGCCCAACCTGCTAGGTGCTGCCCTCCACAGTGAGTGTGTGGCTTTGCACTGGACTTGGATGCCTCCGGGCGGCAGGAGGGGTGCTGGAGCCTTCCCACTCCTCTGCCCCGCCCCGACCTTCCCCCTGCACCCGAACCCTGCCGGTTGATGCTCGCTTTCCAGGGCCAGGGAAAAACCTATAGTGCCAGACAGGTTTGCCTAATTTCTGTCCCCGCAGTCTCCTGCTTTCATCTACGTGCTGTGTTGTCGTTTGGTACAGATCATGTCCAAGTCTTTGAAAAAGTTGGTGGAAGAGAGTCGGGAGAAGAACCAGCCGGAAGTGGACATGAGTGACCGCGGCATATCCAACATGCTGGATGTCAATGGCCTGTGTGAGTTCTCTCTCGGGCAGGGCCTTCCCATTGGCGGAGCTGGAAGGGCTTCTAAGTTTTCCAAGGAACTGTCGGTCATGGTGTAAAGATCTATATTCCACCCTGTGCTTGTAGATGTCACTTGTCAAGACAGCTCAGAAAGTTTGCCATCAGAACTTGTTCTTTTTTGGCTGGAAAACGATCATGGGAGCCAGGGCAGGAATCACACAGATGCTTGCTGCTATAGCTCAGTACCTCAGCAGTTTATGCTGACTTATGGCATTCCGGTGGATTTTGTCCATACAGTTTACCTCATAGCCACTTTATTTTTTAATTGAAAATCATTATTGAATCATACTTCTTTTTTTCTAATATAGTCTTTGGTCCTTGAATAAATGTCACACAAATGGTATGTAATAAGTGTTCTTGTGCCTGGAGCACGTGAAACGTTTTTTTTTTTTGACTCACTGTCATTTTCTGGGTCTGTGTTCTCTTTAGTTCAGGCTTTTGTTATCTGCAACTTGGTAACTGTGATGTCTTCCTAAATTCCCCTCTTGCCTCCATTTTTACAGCCCCCCTGTGGTTTAATCACTGTTATTTTCAGTGTTACTTTTTCAGTGACACAGGTCTCTTAGTGGGTTTTTTTTTGTCTTTTAAACCAGGAATTATAAACTCAAAAGGCCTGTGGAGGACAGGTGAGGATGGTCATGAACTTAATAGTATCCCATCTGCTACTCAGATCCAAACAATTGTTACCACCTGGAGATGTCAGTTCAGTGTTGTCCCGCCCCTTTTTTAAGGAAATGAGGTACACAGATGAACTTTACTGGCATTTAGAAGTTGGCCTCTAATTTCAACATTTGAAAAAACACTTTTTAAAGGTGAAGCAGAACACTCTTTAGGCTGAATGTTCCTTCATTTTGGAACTTCTCCCTCAAACACTTGTAGTTCATTACCAACAGTAATGCTCCAGTTTTCTGGACGTGACGTGCAAGGCCTTCCTGAGTCTAACCACAACCTGCCTTAGCTCCCATCCCTTCCAGGCATTTGGAGTCCCAGCCTCACTGGGGCCTCACTGCCCTTCCAGAACCAGGGCACATGCCTGTACAAGTATTGTCTCCTCCCTCTTCACTCTTTTCCACCCAAAATATTTTTACCTTTTATCAAGAGTCGGCTCAGACATTATAGCTTGTTTAAAGCCTACGTCTGTATCAAGGTGGACATCCCTTGTTTCATGACTGTTGTTACACAGGATTGTAATGTGTTTTTAATTATTCTGGCTCTCTTCCCCAGAGGGGCAAAGCTATGCAGTATTCGTATTTGTCTTTTCTATAATATTGCCTGGAACACAGTGGTGCTCAAAAATGTGTGGTGGATGAAGGGAAGAAGGATAGATTAGGCCTGTGAGTTAATGAGATCCAGACCCGGATGTGATGCTGGGGAGGAAGGGGAGGGGGCCAGGAGACCATCCAAGGTGATAGGTTGCTTGTTAGGCATGGAGAGAGCAGAGTCAGATTGACTGTGACTCTATGGTTTGTTCCTGGAACAGAGGTTGGTGTTGGTGACATTGATGTGCCTCCCACCTCTGAAAAGGAGATGAAAAGTTTTAGCCGATTTACATTTGCTCACTCTTAGGAAGATACCGGCCATTAAATTTACCTTTTGTACTAATTAGCATCTCAGCCTTGTGGTGTGTGTTGGCCTCTGTCAGTGGTGATGGTTTCCTGGTGGCAGCACCAGAACAGACGTCTCTGGTACCGCGTTGGCACTTGTGGATCTGGACATGTTGCCCAGAATGCCCCTGCCTGGCTCTGCTGTGATCCTGCTGCAACAGAGGGGAGATGGTGAGCGTCCAGGAGAAGGCCTGGCTCTGCGGTGCTCTGGGCCCGAGGCTGTCTGCCCCTTGGCACTGTTTTTCTCATGGGCTTGAAGGAGGAGGTAGTTTTCAGCAGAAGAACGTTGTATTAATACTTCTCAGGTTAGAAGAGGATTTTTTTTTCTGTAATATGGTATAGCTATTTTGGTTCAGTCCCATTATCTCTTTAAGGCCTTGGCTTTTATTGAAGAAGAAAAGATAGTCACTTGTTTCCTGAAAAAGACATTTCCGGTGTAGTATGAGGTGGTGAAAAGTAAGATTATTCTTACATTTTCCTAGAGAAGTAGCTTATGGGGAAATTCAGTGGAAGTGAATTTGGCCTTTGTGGTATGTGTAGACTCAAGGAGTGGCTGTAACTCCCTGGCTGCTGGACTCGTGGAGCCTAGAGGATTCCAGAAGGGCTTCAGAAGCTCATTCCTCAACTGGAATTCCTGTGTCAGTAGTGCACATATGCTTACTATTTACATTTTAGTATTTTACATATTCAAATATTCAGCATGGTTATATTAATGATAGTTTATGAAGTCCCACATTCCTTTCCTTATACCATTCTAACTGCCATCCTTAGGTTTTGTGGATTAGTGTTGTGATTAAACATGGGGGACAGTTCATTTGCATGGACTGAGAATGATAATTGTGTCTCATACTTTCCTTCCATTGCCCTTGTTTTTCAGTTTCTCAAAAGATAAGCAAGAATTAAGTTTTGAAGATAAGAGTGGAGGTTTTGTGTTTATTCTCATCATGGGACCTGTCCATCTTTCTGCTTGGGAGAATTGTATCTTATAAGTGCAGTGCTTTGAGGCAGTGAATTGCCTTAATGAATGTTTTTAGGAGCTTAGGTACCAAAAACTTTCTGATGGAGAAAACTTCCTAGGCCTGAGACAGCCAGCAGACAGGTTCTGGAGTTTTCTGCCAGATTCTAGATATGGTCACATCCTGCCCTGAGAGGCAGAAGAGTGCGGTGCTTGTGAGTGGAGCCTTGGAGTTGCACAGAGGGGCTTCAGCTTCTCCATCTTCTACTTACTGCTGTGAAACTGTAGAGGCTGCTTAACCTTCCTGAGCCTCAGTGTCCTCAGGTCCAATGGAGACCTAAGCACCCATGTGACAGGATTGTTTTAGTGCTAAGTGCACCGGTGTATTGGGCTGGCCAAAAATTCCTTTTGTTTTTTTCTGTGTGACTCTAGTGGTGCTTAGTCATCTATAACTCCATTTGAAATAATTTTGTTAGAATGTATTGTGACAGCTGTCGTATCAGTGTGCATTTAAAAGGAAACTTATTAAAATTGGCGAATTTTTCTGTAGCCATTTTAATATCGAACATGGAAGAAAATACATAGCATTTTCTGTGTATCACGCTTCACTGTTTCAGAAAATAATGTAAAAAGGTAAAAACGCAAGTGAAACAGAAAAAAAGATTTCTGCAGTTTGTGGAGAAGGTGCTGTGACTGATTGAACATGTCAAAAGTGGTTTGCGAAGTTTCTTGGTACTTTTGACATTTTGGTCAAACAGTTCTTTGCCGCGGGGCTGTCTTACACATTGGAAGATGTTTAGCAGCACCCCAGGCCTCTACTCCCTCTAGAAGCCAGTAGTGGGGCATAATCGACATGCTCAAAATAACCAGGTCAATAGAGTCATTGGTGAAAATGAAAAATGTGTCTTTTATTTTATGGAGAAAACTAAATGGACTTTTGGGCCAACCCAATATGTTGACTGCTGAGCGCTGTGCTCGCTACTGAATGTGTTCACGTGGAATGTTAACTGTTACTGGGCATTTCCAGATGGAGCCTGGCAAGTCTCGGATGTCACCAGTTCCATCTGCCACAGTGGCCCGAACCGAGAGAGTCCTGGTTCTGTGCACCGAGCGAGGCACTTTGCCCTGTGCTGCTGTTTCTGTGGAGCGTGTTGGGTGGGGCCCGAAGGGTTTGGTGCTTTTGTCTAGGAGCCTTACAGATTTACATGGCTGTTATTTTTTAAAATTATCCCTCAATTTTTTTTCATGTTTGTCTATGTGATATGTAATCTGCAGACATGGTCTCCTTAAAGCTTCCAAAAGTAATGACACTGATTTTGTTCTTTTAGTTAGAAAAGTTTTACTGCTGAAACTGTCTTCCACACAGCAGCTATCCTCACCTGGATGGTACTTTTAAAGGGCCTTGTAATCAGCTTCCTGGAGCCAAGAATCCCATCAGCAGCCTGGAAGACTTTTCTTATTTTTTTTATTTAAGTCTTTTGTGACATTTTGATCTCTTCAGGTGTACTGCCTTCTGGGTGTTCAGGCCTTTAACAGTTTTTTTCTGGTTAGACTAACCGATCTTTCAGATCAATCTTAAAGAAAAATAATGAGCTTCAGAGGAAGGGGTCTTTCTAAAGGACCCTAGAGACTTACCCACAAAAGTGCTCATAGGTTGTTACCAGGAAGGGCGGTTTCAGAAGCCGTGTGAGTCCTGGAGCTAGTCCCCTCTGCCCGGGACCATCAGTTACAGACGTACCTTGTTTTATTGCGCTTCATACACGTTGCACGTTTTACAAATTGAAGGCAAAGACCCTCCAGCAGCGAAAGATTATTGTCTCACTTACTGGGATACTTTTAGTTCTCTAAATTGTAGGTAGAGGGCCACCTTTGTGGGATTTTTCCTAATATTTTTTATTTTTTGCATTACCATTTAACCCCCTTATGCCCCACCACGCCCCTGCAGTCACCACACTGTTGTCCATGAGTCCTTTTTCCTCGACCCTTCCACCCTCTAACCTCCCCCCACCCCACTA